GGAAGAGAATTGGCCTCGTCTGTTCTTGGCCATCTTGGATGTGATTTTATTATTGATCACAGATGTTTGCTGTTGGCCTTGTGGGCACTGGACGGGAGTGTGGTTGGGTGTCGGCTGCAGGGAAAGAGTGTGGAACACAGCCTTTCCTGCAGGGGGGTTGGTGTCATTTTTTCCCCATAACTGGAAGGACAGCTTCATTGTTACAACTACCCTTACTGTTTTGTTATTACTGCTTATTTTGCTTTGGGGAAGCTGAAGAAGAGAGTGAGTTCGCACTCAGTAGACCACATGCTTTGGGGCTAAAGGTGAGAGAACTAGGGATGTTATATTTTTACATGTTTCCCCCAATATGGTCATTTGAGAAGTATCTGTTAAAGTTATAAGGAAAATGATAAGAGTAAAATGGTGACTGGAGAAATGCAAGAGAATGCATTGAAGGCAATATGGTTGTTGAAACCTTTAATGGGGAAGAGACACTTAGCAAGCAGTAAAGGGGAGATGTCTGTGTGAAGGGAAAGCAGTGGACAAGCTAACCAAGACCCTCAGACCCACCTGAGGCTCTAAGAAGCTCTTCTTTGCAGAAGACAGGACAGCAGCTTGGTATTTAACAGTCGTGCAGCCCTTTTCTTGAAAGAATGCAATCTTATCTATATGTAATAATGTTAAGTACTTCTGTATTAAATACTTTTTATGTGCCAGACTCTCCACATGCATTATTTCATTTAATCCTCACACACCTGAACAGTTATCAGGTGGGTAGGATATAGTGGAAGCAGGACCCAAACTCATGCCTTTTAACTCCCAAGTCACAAACTCCCTTCTCAAAAGTTTAGAGTCTGTTTTGGAGCTAGGCTACACACAAATGAAAAGAGATGAAGAGAGCATAGGATAATGTACCAGAACAGAGGCTGGAGGAACTTGAGGAGAGTTGCTGATTTGAGCTAAAGTCATCCCAGAAGGAGGAAGGGCTTAAGCTAACCATCAGAGGGTTGGTAGGGTACGGTAGAGGAAGTCAAGAAGGAGCAGAAGCAGAAAGGCAGGGAAAAGATATTAGACTGAGTAGTGTTGTTGAAATATAAGGCACCAGGCCAGATGTAAATACAAAGTTAACGGGAGGCTCCTGCCCTCAGGATTTTCCAGCCCACGGTGAAAGGCAGCCCTGGACGCAGCCTCCCACGTTAGGTGTTCTATGATCAGTTCTGTACTGAGAGAAGGAAGGGCTTTCAATCTGAACATGAAATTTCCAAGAAGGCATTGAAGAGGAAACAAGGGGCATTAGAGAGGGATGTACGGCAGACTTTTTGATGGGTGGGAACGTGGATGGAGATAGGGACAAATGGCGGTTGGGGTCAGCAAAGTGCAAGGCAGATTTGGGGAAGAGTGAGCTTTGGGATAGCAGGAATGCAGACTAATCAGGGGGAATAGAGGAAGTTATGAGGCCTGAAAGGCAACTAAGGACTGCCCTGCAACAGAAAGACTGACTGGTCCTGGGATAGCTTGCTCTCCATCCCAGAACACTGGTGACTCAGAATTCTCATAAGAAGGTGGGAAGGCCCAAGGTCGCTCAGTGCACTCATGGGGCTTAGTTCCCAGTATTTGGCTGAACTTTCTCTAACAAGGACAGGGGTGGGGCTTCTGCATTCTGAGGCAGAAGGTTGTGTAATCCCACTACTGATGTCTCTCGGATAAAGGGATACCAGAATCTTTCTAAATACTTTGGCTCCTGGTTTAACTTGGGTGTCTCACAACCATGGGGCTTTTTGTGCTTGACTCAGGAATGAGAAGTCAGTAGTGGAGAGCACCAAATCTTTAGGCCATAAAACATAAAACACTTATTTCATGAGGCCAGCTCCAAGGCATATCCATTCCAGAATTCTGCCTCCAACTCAGTTTAGGAGTTAACACTTTTTTGGTTTATTATTGATCTAAAGATTCTCTACCAGTATTTAATTTAATTTTTATTTTTATTTATTTATTTTTATTTTTTTTTAGCAGTGCTCTGGGCTAAGCTATTTATGTGGATGGTCTTGTTTAATCTGCTCATAAATCCTTTGAAGCTGTCAGATTATCAGCCCCATTTCTCAATAAGGAAATAGCCCCTCACCCAGAGCTTTAAGTGTCAGAGCTGGATGTGACCCTAGTGTCAGACTTCAGAACCTGAGCTCCTGTCCACTTGTAACTTGCAGGTCAGGGACCATCCTCAATCAACCAGTTCCCCATTCTACACCCAGCTTAGTACAGGTGGGCCTTTAGCTTCACATTGCCGTTGGCCTCACCACCCTAGCAAGGTCCATCAAGTGCCTTAGGCATTTTGGGATCCCTTCAGTCCCCTGAGGAGAAGTAGCCTTTAATGACATCCCATCTCCAGTGTCATTTTCAAATGGAATGTGTGTCTTCCCCAAGGTGAGAAACCATACCAATGTGACTTCAAGGACTGTGAGCGAAGGTTTTCTCGTTCAGACCAGCTCAAAAGACACCAAAGGAGACACACAGGTTTGTAGGCTCACTTCTCCTTGCTGGTAGTATGTTCTGGGTTGCAGCTGCTTTTGTGATTCTCTTTGTTGTTGAATATGGATGGGAGAGGGCTAGCCATTTGTTTAGTTTTTCCAATAATTCCCTCCCCCTCAAATATCTGGGGATTTTCCTGTTCTTAAAAAAAAAAAA